GGTGTGGGGGGGGGGGGGGGGGGGCGCGACGCAGCCCAACCGGCGTGCTGCCAGTCCATCTAGCGCACAGCAGATCAAGTCACATCACGGGGAAAAGCCAGGAGGAACGATGAAGGCGTTGATGATAAGGGCACGTTTGCGTCTTCTGACTAGCCGCGTCCAGCAGGGGGCGATACAACACCATTTTAGAATGTGAGTGGACGAAAGCGCGAGGAGAACATGTAGTCTACTTACGGGACATTTGAAAACGTTCCCATTGTGAAGCAGACTTGCCAAGCACTATCGCCCCGTGTTACCTTTAAATTGCTTGTGAAGTGTGGAAAAAAAAAATAAAAACTTCATACGCCTTTCTCCACGATTCTAGCCAATGATTAGTTTGTGTTCACATTTGTCCTCCTCCTGTTTGTGAGGTTTTCACAGTGGAAGCGATGATGCCTCACCTCCAGGACGTGAGCGGCGCCGTCTCCAAGAACCTTTTCCTCAAAGATAAGAAGAAGAAAACTTTGTGGTTGGTGTCGACGCGTCACGACCGACAGGTGAGGCCTGGAGCATCGTCCAGCATCCATTTTCTCATCTCTACTCCTCAATTACTACTCCAGGAATTTTGAGTGGACTACAGACAATTGACTGTAACAAGGACCACCCTCTCTATTCCTGTACAGGTGAACCTGAATGAGCTGGCCAAGAAGCTGTCGGTGGGCAGCGGGAACCTTCGCTTTGCAGACGAGGCCACCATGCTGGACAAACTTAAGGTGACACAACCAACTAATAGCTATATGCCCTTGTCTCTCTCCTCTTCTGTTTTATTATTTGGCTTGGTCCTCTATTTGAAGAAACACGCAGGCTCCGATATTAATGGGGCCCGATGGCCTGGGGCCACCAAGTCATTCATTGTGTTGGGCCACCCGAAGTTCACTGATGCTGGGCCGAACAGGCCATCGTACAAAATCGCACACTTGCGCTAGCATTAGCACTGTAAACAAGCCGACGTTACCCACAGCTGCTACATTGGTAGCATACGTTATTCATAAGAGAGCATTAGGATAGGCCGAAAATGCCCTTCACATTAATCAGTAGTCCAGAAGTAGCTAACTCTCACTTTCAAACAAGTATACGTCGCTCCCTCTCCTATACTATTGCTTTATTATTTCTTTTAGTTTGATCATTAGGCATTAAAAAAACGAATCATATTTTTTTTTAATCAATAAATTCTGATCCAATTAATTGATGGAATAATCCATTAAAAAAAATGTTGGCTAGTGACAGCCCTAGTCCAACTCAAGTTAAGATTTAATGTTGACGCGTGTGGTTCAGGTGGGTCAGGGATGCGCCACGGCTCTGGCTCTGCTCTTCGACAAGGACTGTAGCGTCACCTTGGTCTTGGACCGAGACCTGCTGGAAGGGGGCCACAACATGGTCTATTTTCACCCCATGACTAACAGCGCCACAATGGGGATTAGGCCCCAAGACCTGCTGCGCTTCCTCAAGGACACCGGACACGAACCCGTCCTGGAGGACTTTGAGTAAACGAGAAGAACTGCAAGAAGATTCTGATTTTGAATGGGAGAAGCATACAAGCAACACATAAATCAAGCAGCGAAGTGAGCAGTAGCCGACAGTGTAGCACAAGATGAAGAAGCACAGCTAGTGTATCGTCATCTTCCTCAAATAATGACCCAAGTCCATCCATGAACTAAGAGCTGCTGAACCCAAAATGGAATTTCATAATCATTGTATTTCGATTGGAAAAAAAAAAGAGAGACCATGAGACAGTTCCGCAGATGGGAGAATCCCCCTTCCGGGATGCCCAGTTTGCAATGGATGCCGAGTCGGCAAAAAGTACGCTTGTCGTGGATTTCCGAGGAAGTGGCCAGATTCTCTTTAAGGCTTCCCCCAGTCCAAATATGACTTAGGCCTTTATTTTAAGAAGGTGACGATATGAGACATCAAAGCAGTGGCGAGCGATGGATATGCTAAATTTGGTACCTGCGACTGCAGTGGCGACTTACTTGACTTAATCCCCCCCTTAATTTATTCACTGACAACGGTTTGACCAAAAACCCAGATGTCTGACCAAAAAGCGGAGAAACCGGCTTTCGGAGAAAAGAAAGGTCAAGCAGACTTTGACGCCAATATTTTGAGACACCTCACTATGAAACAAAAACAACACTGAGAAAAGCCTTTTGATGGCCATCGAATGAAAAGAATGAACTGCTGACTAGGAAAAATATTTACAAGAAATACTGGGTTGTTCCACTGGTGTGAGAAGGACGGCCCGCCACTGCATTCGAGGAATTTGCCTAAAAATGAAACATGACTGGAAAACTGCAACATTTGATTTGATTTCTCACCGACGTCAACATTTTAACAATTGCTTTTTTTTTTTTTGTCCTCACTGCTCCACATAATTTTATTTCCAAATTGTCTGTTTTCGTGGAATAAATTGTGGTTTTCGCCTTGAGCATCACTCATTTCCTAAGGCATCATTCACCTTATTTTTACAATAAAAACACACACACATAGTGTGATATGTATGTATATATTTAGATGTCTCTATTATATATTAGCCATTTTAAACTCTTCTGCAAGCTCGAGTTTGATGTTCTTTGTTGGGGAATGTTCCTGCAGTGCGCCCCCTTTAACTCTCTCTCACGCACACACAAACACACGCCCCTTTAACTGCATCACTAATGAGAATGCATTGTTGCATTGTCGATGAAATTAGCAAATGAATAACTGCCCCTCACTGACGTTCCGTTCCCAGGCATTCTTTCACTCCGCACGGCTGCGCGTGAGCATTTCCTATCGTAGTTTTAATCCCATTGAAACATTTTTAAAAAAAAATTACGTCTTAAATGAGCGCTGATTGTTTTTAGTTGAGTATTCAACAAAACAAGTCGCATTTGCTTTCAGTGTTTCAAGGTGGTCAGATGCGAGGAAGTGGGACCTGCATTTCATAATAAAAGCGTTCAGCCCCTGGGGGGCCTTTTATTGCGGTAAAGGTGAGAGGAACGAGGGGCTCCGTGAGTGACTTAGAAGGTTTGGTCGCCATGGCGATGGAGAGTTGTGGCGTGCCAGTCAGCAGCTTGCGAAAGAAAAGACCTCCAGCTCGTTGAGTTTTCACTGTTCATCCTGCAAATCACATGCAACGCTGCTGACTGTTCTTGCGGCTTGTGCACCGTCAGCGGTCTATGTGCAATTGTCGAATTGTCTTGTGTGTGTGTTTTTTTTTTCTTCCTGTTACTTACTAACTCTACTTGTTACTCTTGTGGCTGTTCACAGTCCAAAAAGAGAGTCCACTGAATGAAGCCCAGAGGCCAAGAGTGACCTTTGAACTCTTTGAGTCGAGCCCACCGGAGAGTTTCTGCTCCTCTTTTGGCTTTCTCTGTCTCGCTCTTTCTCCGTCTGCTTTCCGTTGCTTTGCAGCCCTATCACCGTGGCGACCAAACTCAGACTGGTCGCTATGGGAGACGCTCCAGAAATAAGCTGTCATTAAACGTGTGTGTGTGTGTGTGTGTGTGTGTGTGTGTGTGTGTGTGTGTGTGTGTGTGTGTGTGTGTGTGCGTGTGTGTGTGAAAAAAAAAGCGTGTGTGTGTGTGTGTGTGTGTGTGTGTGTGTGTGCGGGCATGTGTTAGCTTTTCTCACACACATTTAGTGACAGTGTCAGAGAGCTGCACTTCTGTGTGGACTATACATAGAGCGAGAGAGAGAGAGAGAGAGAGAGAGAGATGTACGTGTGTGTGTGTGTGTGTGTGTGTGTGTGTGTGTGTGTGTGTGTGTGTCGACTGCTGTGATGGAATAATGTCTTAACAAACACAAGAGGAGGAGAAACACCAAAGAGTCAGCAGGCTGCTGAAAGAATCCTTCTAGCATGTGTGCGAGGCTCGCAGTGAACACTTGATGATGATGATGATGACGCGTTGAGATATTTTCAATTACTTTTGGATGAGGAGAAAGTACACCCTGCTATTGAGCATGAGCTCCCCGTTACTGCCTGATTACGACTCACCCTCTCACCAAAACAAGCAAAACGGTTTGGTCGGTTTCTGACTTTCACCGTTGCGGAGGAATTCACAACAAGTTCAGGAAGGGTGAATGCTGAATGGCGCCTGATGTTGGTTACCATGGTTATGAGCGAGGATGTCTCCATTGCCATAATGTGCCTTCTCGCCTTCCAACACAACAAGCGCAATCGAGAATCAATGAATAGCTCATTGACAGCGTCAATCACAAATGGGTGTTGTGATGAGGAGTTTGCCTTCAATGTCATTAGGTTGTGTACGATATTTACAACGTGAAATTACATTCGAGGCCAAATATTTGGACATGGACGCAATTCTCCTCTTTTTGGCCCTAAACGCCACCACCACGATGTGAGAATAAAGTCAAGAGGGTTTGAACTTGGTCTTCAGCATTCCAGTGAGCAAGCGTGTCACGTTCCAAAGAACATGTTAGCATGTTCGCATCATTGAAAATTTGAAAGGATCCATCCGTGGGAAATACTTGTCCCGTCTGGAGGAAATCAAGACCTGGATGGCGGCGAATTTCTTGAATTTCAATGAAAAGTGACGACGTTTGGTCCCAGTGGCCCTTGTCCATCCCATCCTGCGGACTTGGGCTCCTTGGCTCCTTATCTGAAGCCAGCAGTCTGAAACTTGGGGCTCTTCAACTGGACAGTGATTTGAAATCGGAGCGGCAAATTGGTGCCGTTGTCAAAGCCAGCTTCTTTCATCTTAGGCAGCTGGCTCAAGTCGCGCCTCTCCTTTCTCAAAAAAACTTTGAAACAGTTATTCATGCCTCTGTCACATCTCGGTTGGGTTACTGTAACGCACTTTGAAGTCTGCCAATCCTCCATCAAGCGTCTCCAGTTGGTCCAGAATGCTGCCGCTTGCTTCTTGACTAGCACTCGTCAGAGAGAGCACGTAACTCCTACTCTGGCATCCCTTCACTGGTTCTTTTTTTCAAATCTTGAAATGGCCTGGCCCCGCCTTACCTCTCTGAGCTTCTCCGCACCTGCCCGGCGCCTCAGCTCTGCGGACCAGACGCTATTAGAGGTACCGAGGGCCTTTTCCGTTGCCGGTCGCTCTCTCCCACTGAACGTTCGGCAAGGCTCCTCACTGCCCATCTTTAAAACTCATTTTTATTCTTTGGCTTTTAACTCAGCATGAGGATTGATTTTTGTTTGACTGTTTTTGTGCTTTCTACTATCTTGTTTATTAATTCATTGCTTTGTTGTTTGTTGTTGTCTGAATAAATTTTGCCCCACGTGCAGCACGTTGTGTACAGCGGTCGTTGTTTTAAAGTGCTCGAGAAATGGAGCCAAGTTGAGTGGAGATGTGCAACCAATCTGTTGTTTGTCTTTGGTATGTGCTCTGCAGTTGACTGGCGACCGGTCAATTGTTCTCTATGACTTTATTTGCGGTGCTTTATTGTTCTTAGCCGCAGATAGAAACAGGAATTGCGTCAAATGAGAAAATGACAATAGCCGTCCACAAACTGGCCCGTGGGCCTTTAATTTGCTGCCAACACATGAAAATATGATGAAAACAATTCTGTAAACTTGTCAGCGTGTGTGCGTGTGTGTGCGCCCGCGCGCGTGTGTGCGTGTGTGTGCGCGCGCGCGTGTTAATGTGTAACTCTATCCTTCAGCAGTGTGTGGACTTCCGGGATGACATCATCGTTACGACTGTAATGTTTACTCTTGTAGTCATGAGACGCATGCACACGCAGACGTAAGCGGAGCAGATCCAAGCAGCGGTGCTGTGCGACAGGTAAGGCGAACACCGACTTTCAATATTCATTGATGTGACGCCAACCCTTGTTAGGATTCCTGTCTCGAATAAAGTTGATATTAGTCATGGTGCCAGTAGACATTTTTCTTCGAATGTAACAAATCAAAGTGATCGTTTTAATGTTGACAATCTATTTTTTTTAATTCTTTGTGTGTTGTTACACAAGACACATTTCTGAGAACCAAAAGGGATTCTTTCAATGTATTTATTTTACTCAATGGAAAGTAAATTCACATTTTTGTTTCTGAATACATAGTCAATGTTTGAAAATAGCTTCAGAAAACCCCTGCAAAGACAGAGACAAATGCACACCACAATTGTGAAATATCACGTTAAATTGCTTTTCAGCATTTCTGGTATTCAGATTGTTTTCAATCCTTTTTATAGGTGTCCTGTCCCTCCACTCAATCCAGTGCAGTTGCCCCAAAAATGCATCATCCCTTTAGTCCAACAGCAGGGCCACTTTAGAGCACCTCGTAATCAGCTGTGAGTTCGCACACGTCACGCAGAGAAAAATGGAGGGGGGTGCCAGAAGAAAAAAAAAAGCAGGACTTGACAGCCAGACGCTGTGGCTGCTTTAGAGTGCCTTGTCATCAGCTGTGAGTGTGCGCACACATTATGGTGAGAAGGTATACGCGTAGCAAGGGGAAAAGAAAAGGAGATAAGGACTAAAAAATCCGATGCGAGAGCCAGCGTGTGGACAGGGGCTACACGCTGGCATGGCTGCTTTAGAGCGCCTCGTTGTTGCGACGACCTGGCGGGATCTTACATTGCGTAGTAGCCAGGATGCAGACAAGCACCTCTCCAACAACCAGTTGTCTGCCACGAGACTCAAACTTTGAGCCTCTTCTTCCAAAAATCCCGCCTCCCCGTTTAACCTGTTCATCTTCACAAACAAAAGATTCATTCTTTTCACAGGCAGCATAATTAACGTATACAATCAGACTGGTTTGAATTGGCTGTGAATCGGGCCGCTCCCATCATCAGCGGTTGTTTAGGAATGTGAGCGTAATGAGCCAGAAGTTATGGCGCCTCCCTTTACATTCAGTCCTTCATTGTCTTTTCGTCCTTTTGTCGATCACTTCATTGAACCCCAAATCACAGCTGATGTGACCAAGAGGGTCAGGGTGCAATTGAAACAAAAAAGATAAAAGAAGCGCATCATGTAAGTGATGACACAGTGTCCTAACGTAACGACGGTCATACAGAGAAAATAAGATCAAAAACTTAAAAGTCACTTGAATGGCGCCCTGTGCGAACAGCTGCTGCCAACAGAGAATATCTCATTTCCAAAAGTACCGTCCGTTTTCCTAACTTGGTGACCCTTATGCAACCTTTTTTTTTTACCCAAAAAGTGATGAACGACTTTGATTCCTGCAAAGAAATAGACCACATGAAGTAAATCATCGGTGACGTTTCTGACTGCTCGAGTGATGATTTTTGGCCCAGAAAAATAGGCTATTTTATTTCGAGACCATATCGTTCTGGCCTAGTGTCACATAGTAATGTACATAAAACGGAGAAAATTAGTTCTTAAAAGTAGCTGGAAGGGCACCCAGCGGAACTCCCGTTTCGTGAAAATCAAGCATGTTGTTTTTTGTCAGCTGAGTAAGCAAATGCACGAATACACCTGATGACAACATTAAATATTTGTGAAACTTCAGAAAGCAAAAGTATCTAGAAAGGCACCCTGTGGAACTCAGTTTTGTGAAAATCAAGCATGTTGTTTTTTGTCAGCTGAGTAGGCAAATGCATGAATACACCCGATGACAAGTCTAACCGTTTGCGAATGTGCTATTGAGGCCTCCGTGGATAATAACGTCATCATTCTTTAGTTTGGCATGTTCTTTTTTCCGGCAGTGTCCAGGTCTGGGCTTCAGTGTTTCACTGATTGCTGTTGTCGCTTATGCTGCGACCTCTGAAACCGTGTGCTTTGTTGTTGTAAAAGTGGACAAGGGAGCACCTTACAACACTTTATGACATCTCTACTTGTCTTTGCCACTTTTATGACATTCTGCTTGTTGCTTAGCAGCAGGAATGGATCAAAAGGGGAAGCGGATGCCCTGGTTAGCTTTCTCCTGAGCAAACTCAACAACTCTCAGTACTGACGCAAAGTTATTTTGACAGAGTGACTGACCTCGACATTCTGCGCCCATCGGCATGTTTCCCATCTGATCGATCGAGCGCAATCATTACGGAAACGTGTGCACAAACATGTCATAGATGTGATGGGGATTAGATTACTTGCAGGGAGGAGGGGGGGGGCAACATTTGTGCTCAATGGCCACATTTGATTTTTAAAATGAACACATAGGCAAGGTCATTCGTAGAGGTTAAGCCAACTCACGAATATTACATTATGTACAATAATTACACTTTATAGACCCATCCTTCCATGTAAACTGGAGCCGATCCTGGCTGACTGTTGGACTGGTTCCTGGCCAATCACAACTTTGTTTTTATACAACATGTGCTAGTTTTCTTTGATAAAACATGTAATGAAAAAAGGGTGGCTGGGGATCAAGGATGATCGCATGCTTGATTTGCTCTAGTGGGCCACCTAAAATTATGTGGCGGCCCGATATTGCCACAGGGCCTTGACTTTGACACTTGTGTTCTTGAGGAGCAGTGTAGTTCCAAAGCTAGTAAACTAAAAACGAGGACTATAAGACACAAATAGGACTCCACCAATGACGAGAACCCCATGTCAAATTTATCATGTTTTAACATAACAGCCCTTAAATAATGACAAATGTATCACGTTGTAACGCGAGACTGAACTTTTGCCCATCGGTGTTGTAGCAATATGCTTTCGTTAAATGTACATATATATTTGCTCACAAATAAACGAGATTTTTATGTTAGCCAAAGCGTGGGGGGGAAACCATTCACCTTAACATTCTGGCACAACAAATAAAATACGTAAACAAAAACAAAAGAATAACTCCATCCAAAATAATTCATGGAACAATGAATGAGGAAAACACTGAAACGGAAGAGTAATTTCGTTTATTTATTTTTTAATAAAAGAAGGACGTGAACACTCTCCGACTAGCTTACGTCCTCGAGGCTTGCTCGTGCTCGCTGGCGGGGGCGCGCCGCAGGTAGTAGCCCCGCCCCCTTTCCTGGTCTCGGTCGTCCTGTCTTTCACACAAACCAGGCATAGAACGTCCGGTCCCGGCGGAGCGGCCGCACAGGCATCTGCAGAGCAACCAGTCGACTTCCTTCTTCTCTTCCCCAAACCGCTGCCTCAGGTGAGCAGCCGCCACCGCCTGTCGGGACCGGACGAAGAACCCTAGAGAAGCCCCCCCCCCCATCCCTACCGCAACCGGACGTTTGAACGCGGCGACCGTTCAGCCTCATTCAGTGACGTTAGCTGAGATCGTAGCTTGACCGGCCGGACAAACATTTTTCACCCCCGCCCTCGAGCGACAGTCGTCGGCAAGCGGATGGATGCGGCGGCCGGGCCGCCGCCGCCGGCGCCGCCGTCATCCGCTCGCCTCTCGGTGAAGTTTGCTCGAAGTGATGTCATGCTAGTGAGGCAGGCGGGCAAGCCAGGCAGCCCCGCGTCGGACTCGCGTGGAAGAAATCGCCGTTTTCCCGTCGCCTCGTTCACGTGAATTCGAGTAGGAAAGACGGAAAGCGTCTCGCTGTGCTCGTTTTCGGAACACACGTGAAGACATCGATCGTCCTCCTTTCCGTTTGGATTCTGCGCTTTGGTTTCCCCCCCTCCCCGTCTTCGCTGGCCATTGTTGTGTGCACGCAGGCACGCGAGGAGTGGAATCGATTTTGAAAAAGTGTGACGCATTCGCAAAATGAAAGAAGAATGGCTGCGCAGTTTGGCCCGTTTGCGAATGAGCATCTTCTACGCATTGACCGGGATTAGGATTATTATTGTGCGCGTGTGCAAACGGTGTGTGAATGAATGAATGAACGAATGAATGGTTTCACACTGTGGGTGCAACTTCAGTGCGGTGTTTGTTTCCCAAACACGTATGTGGTGCCTCGACTTGCAAATTCAATTTATTGCGCTCGCGACTCAAATCATATTTCACCATTCAATCCGTGATTTCGTTTCAGCCCCTGTAAAACACCAACAAAACAATTCGTAACGTGCATGTTCCTGAAAAAAGAGAGCGCTCCGTACTATCGTGTTATATATTATCTTCCAACGTCATACAATAATAACACACACGCAGGCCCAAATGATTATTATCAATAACATAATGAAATAGCAGGTAAAGAATGAAACACTTTGTGCATTTCATGCTTTAATTGTGCCGCTCCGGGCGTGCATGCCTTGGCCATCAGAGGGCAGTATTTCACATAAACACCGACCAGGGAGAATTTTGCTTTTTGGGAAAAACGCCATGCCAAATCACACCGGATTGTGGTTTTAAAGGCGCGCTGTGGTGGCACAACATGAAATCTCCAATTTTAGGTCAATTGGAGCAGACGCGGCCTTCCTTTGGATCCTTGTATCTCAGGTACGACAGAGTCAAGTTTACCCTTTGCAACGTTACCCGTTTTGTGAAAATTGACTCAGTAGTTCCTGAGCTCAAAGGGCTTCCAAGGAAGGTGGAAACTCATTCAAATTCGGTGGGCCGTAGCTCCAAAAGCCCTGCTGCGATTGACCTCCAATTGGAGATTTTGTGTCATGCCATCGTGATCAACAAGTACAGCAAGCTTTACTCAAATCAAAATCTGCTTGGTTCAATTTTTCAGATTTGGGGGGGGGGGATTTGGCATGGAATGCCCCAAACCCGATATTTTGGTTGTAAACCTGTCATTTATTTTGTAGGACTACCAAAAGTGCACAATGAGCGGAAAAGTCACTATTTAGGAACGGGACGTGAAACAAACTTTATTTAGAAAGATTCGGTAAAGAGTAGTATCAGTAGAAAGCAGACATATTTTAGCTGTTGCTTTGTGTGTGTCTGTGTGCCAAAGGTTTACTGTAATTAGTAGAAAAGTGATATTTTATCCTTTTTTTTTGTTGGGTAAGACTTTGTATGCAAATGTCAATGTTTTTCGTGGCATCCTGCTTGCCATTGGCCGGATTGAAGCAGTCATCAAAGTGCTCCGCATTCCCAAATTCGTGCCAAATTATTTTGGTGGCGCTGGGGAAGGTCACCGGCAAGGATATTCACCAGTTGTCCTTTTTACTCATGCGGCCCCCAAATCTTCCCCCCTCCAAGAAGGAATGCCTGCCAAGCAGGTCAGCGCCGACTTAACTTTCACTGCGGGAAAATTGAGGCACACATCTAAAAAGTCCCGCGGGAATGAGCTTTTTCAATTCCTAGAAAAGATTCAAATCCCTTCTTTTCCTTCTTTCTTTCCTGTTCTGGGTGCTGCGTCCTTCAGCTCCGTAATGTGACATCATCAACACTACTCACTGATTTTTCACATCCTTGTCTGGAATGCGGAGAAGTTTTTCTCACATTACCTCCAGCATCCACCACTAATGTTGTTAACTTGAGCATGAATAGAATGGCCGGTCTCTATAAATGAGAATAAGACGCGAGTGTTGTTTTTGAAGTTGTTTAGTTGAGCGCAGCAAAGCTCCTCGGCGTGTCGGCCCCGCCCGCCACCCTCTGTTCATTCATGCGTGACGTTTTAGCTTGCTAGCTGGCCGCCAAGCTTGTATGCCACCGCTAATTAGAGCAACAACGTCGTTAGCTGAGGTGCTGCAGACGGTCTAATCCCGCACAGACAGATCAGCATAATCCCTCGCCACCTCCCTCTGTTCTGACCTGCGCGTTACCTCCACAATACACACACACACACACACACGCACGTGTGTGTGTGTGTGTGTGTGTATATATGTATGAGGGTCTGAATTTCATTGTTTTTACAAGTTGCTCAAACACGTGAGATGTTTAGCCCAGCAAACATGTGGGTGTCTCCCACAGGTATCTTCACTGACCTCTGAACGTGCTGGTCCATGGGGCGCTTGAAAGGTGAAAGTTCAACACTCGGACGGCGAGAAGTCTACCGGGGGGATGATGGGAACGCTTTTGAGTCTGTGTCATCGCCGTCCTCAAAAGATGGAGCCCATTCGGATTTCCCGGATTATTTCTCCCGCTCGCATCTGGAAGTAAATGTCGTCTTGCACCAGGAGATTCTCACCGTGAATTAGTGAGCGCCCACAAGTCGTTGAAATCCGCGCCGAGTGGGCGATGCTCAAAATGGCCGCCTGGACGACACAGAGTTGAGACGCGGGCGCTCCGTCATGTCCTGGAAAAGGAACTACTTTGCGGCGGGCGGCGGCGTTAATGGTGGTGGTGGTGGTGGCGGCGCAGGCGTGGCGGGGCTGGCAGGAGGAGGAGGAGGCGGCGGCGGCGCTGGCGGCGGGCTGGCCGGGATGGCGGCCATGCTGACGCCTCGCACTGTGACCTCCATCGCGCCCAGTAAAGGACTGAGCAACGAGCCGGGACAGAACAGCTGCTTCCTCAATAGCGCCCTGCAGGTACACACGCTCGCTCCCACGTACGAGCGCACACACACATGCGCGCGTACATCTGAATAATAGAAAACGTAATGAAGTCATTCGCTGCCATCGACATCTCCTGACATGAAGTGCATTTTCTCAACGGGCGGGCATAAAAGAGCATCTCGCGCAGCTTGTCTCTGAATGTCACCTTTGCAAACCGCTGTCGTGACCGACAGGACGGGAGCGTCGGATCATTTTGGATTTGAGATCGCGCCAGCTTTTGAATGGAAGATTGAGATTACGAACAAGAGAAATGGCAATATGTTGATCCTCGGAAACGAACAGAGTAGTCACATCGCAAAAGTCGTCGGAAGTGTTTGTGTGTGTGTGTTGCAAGAAAAGATGACGCAGCCAATGGAGTGAATGAGGAACGGCGTGTAAAAGCCACGCGGGGACAGGGAGAACATGCAAAGTCCTCCGCACAGGAAGGCTGCGGACCTCCCACCGCACGGTGAGGCGGACATGCTAACCAGTCAGCCGCTGTCTCGCCGCCTGAGGGCAGCACGGAGCGGGTTGGAATGTCGATGAAGCGCAGGCGAAAGGAACAGGCTGGAGGTTGGCTCTCGATTGGGACGGCAGGTCACGTGACTCCCCCGCTGCCGGCTCCCGCGGGAACAAGGCGACATATGCCAGCCTGCGGGGGGGGGGTGCGGCAACAGGAACAGGAAGGAGCAAACAAACACGCCCAAAGTCATCACGCACTTGCACTTGCTATCGCAGCGCTTTTTTAAAAATAACCTTCTCGACTTGTGGATTTGGTTTCGGCTCATGTTACATATTTTACGACATCATTCATTTACATCTTTTTTTGCCATGTCAGCCCATTAAAAACTGTGTTGAAAGGGGAAGAGGATGTGGCCAAATGAAAACGTCGACCCATCAAATGCTTGCTGCTCATCTTTGATGAGGTGCCGCCGGCGCCGCTTTTGAAGTGGCAAAAATCGAATCATTTTTTTTTCCACACTTCAGCCCGTATGATGTTCCCGTTTCATAGCGATCCGATCGGGTTTTCACGAACGGTCGGATATGTTGAAGCGGTCAAGCCGCAGAATTGAGTTGTCACGGCGAGCGCTTGCAACTTAACGAAGAGGATCGCGGCATCTGAATCGCGATATTCCGATGCCTTCCCCTCCCCAACGCATCGTGTGCCGTTTAGGTCCTGTGGCACTTGGACATTTTCCGCCGCAGCTTCAGACAGCTGACGTCTCACAAGTGCATGGAGGACTCGTGCATCTTCTGCGCTCTGAAGGTGAAGACCGAATGCGCTCGCGCCCGACAACCACGACCGCCTAAAAACTGTGTTGAAAGGGGAAGAGGATGTGGCCAAATGAAAACGTCGACCCATCAAATGCTTGTTGCTCATCTTTGATGAGGTGCCGCAAAATGTTCCGTCCTAGAAACAGGTCGAATCTTCATTTTTCCACACTTCAGCACGTATGGTGTTCCCGTTTCATAGCAATCCGATCGGGTTTCATGAAGCGGTCAAGCCCACAGAATTGAGTTGTCACGGTGAGCGCTTGCAACTTAACGAAGAGGATCACGGCATCTGAATCGCGATATTCCGATGCCTTCCCCTCCCCAACGCATCGTGTGCCGTTTAGGTCCTGTGGCACTTGGACATTTTCCGCCGCAGCTTCAGACAGCTGACGTCTCACAAGTGCATGGAGGACTCGTGCATCTTCTGCGCTCTGAAGGTGAAGACCGAATGCGCTCGCGCCCGACAACCACGACCGCCGGCTTTTTTTTTTTTTTTCCAACCCGGCTGGGGGGGGGG